CCTCATGTCCCTCAAAAACTCCCACTTTCCCTCACCAGTAACCGTCTGACTTCAACACTTTAGAAGATTTCTGGGTTTCTCTCTTGACCCGAGAATGGGCTGCTTTTCGAGGGGATTTTGGGTGGCTTCCCGACATCCATTTGGGGCGTGCGACCTATGGTTGGAAAGCTCTTTGAATGTAGTTCCACTCTCTAGTTGAAGGTTTTGGCTAATTTTGGCTCGAAGTTCACGAAAATCTCACTTTCCTCTCCAAAAGTCAGTCTGGAACTTTTCTGGGTTTGTTTTTTTTGAGTTGCGTCTGAGGGTGAGTTTTTGGAACGACCGTGAACTCCCTTCCTCTTGTCTCATCCCTTTATTTTTATCCCCCAAAAGAACGTGCTTCAGAGATCCTATCCATCAAATCCAACCCGATTTTTAGCCCGTGATTGCCCACTTACCAAGCCTGCAAACTGAGTCTCTTCACCAACTTTCTGACTCCAAAATCATCATAATTTGCAGCTGTTGAGTGAGCAGGTTTGACTGAGATTATCACGTGTCTTCAGCAGCTTATCCCTGGCAAATTTTTGTCCATTTGCACTCCTAATGATGGTCTCACACCTCGGCCAGAGTTCACGCTGATCGGCTGGCTGAGTAGGATATGGTGGGGCCACAAATTTGGCTACTCAGCAGCCTCGAATTGAGACCAAATCGTGGACCGATTTTTGGAAGCTAATTTAAGTGCTTTAATCCATTCATTTTGTCGGAATTTTTGATCAGTTTGAAAGTTGAAGTATATTAGTTTAAGATGATAATCAGAATTTGCAATTTTCCATGCCCAAGTTTGCAGGAAAGTCCCTCAAAATTAGCCACTTTCTTGTCCGAGAATGCCCGATTTGAGCCAATTTAGTCCTTTTGGCTTGATCTGATCAATTTTACCTTGCCCGTTTTCAATTTCAAGCTTGATTAGGGGTAAAAATGATGATTTAAGGGCTTGGGGGCAAATTTTACAAATTTTGCGATTTGGTCCCCCAACTTTTGGAAATTGTATTTTGGCCCCAACTTGCTGGTTCATTTGCAATTTGATCCCTCAGGTCTCGGTTAGCTACACTCGAATCCTTGGCCCTTGCTCTTCCGTTTTTTTTTTTTTTTTTTTTTTTATAGAATAATTCCAAAATATTTTTGTGGAAAAACAAGCTCCAATTTTTTGAAAATGATTTTTGGGCAAAAAATTTAGGTGTCAACAGGAGAAAGTCCGAAAGCCATTTCTTATGAGATATTCGAAAGTCGGAAACAAAATTTTATTGAAAAAAGCTAGGGGTAAATTTACAAGAAAAGTAAAAAGACAGATTTTATCCCTTGAACGAAAAAGTGGGGCCCTTTCTTCTTCTTTCTTTTTTTTAAAATTTTTTTTTATTTCTTTTAATGTGGCGTGAAGGCTCAGTTTTGACTACTCCTCCCCACTTTCGAACTTCGAAGCCGTTCAGTTCATTTCGAAGCTCCATTTCCCTCCTCTCCAGAACGGCGAAGCGCGGACTGGAGGGCATGGCCGCAGCCTCCGCTGGTGTGTGGGCCCTGATCAACCTCGTGCTGCTGCCATCGGCGGCGGTGCTCCTTCCTGGCGGTGCTGGCGCTGGAGAGGGCCGTCCCACCCATTCGTAGCGCCGGACTGGGCTGGCTCAGGGATCGTGACAGGGCAAGACATCGGGGGATGCAGCGGACTTTCGATGGCGGTGTTGATTATCCGGTCGGAGGCAACTCCGATCCTTCCCTCCTTGGGTACCGAATTCGATTCTCTCAGCGTGCGATCGCATTTTTTGAAATCTCGCTTCAAAATCGCACGTCTTTTGCATGTCCATTTAGGAATTTCGAAGGCAGCTTATGCTTCGTGGGGAGCTAAATTTGTCAAACTAGTGCCGATTAGAGAGGTTGTAGGTTCTTCGTTCCATTTGATTTGACCTCGTGTACCGTGCTGATTGTGTTTCGATTGTGGCTTCTTCTCTGTGGGCTGTATTTTGCGAGAGTTCGATTAGGTACTCCTCCGAGGGAGTTCTATGTACAGATAGATACTGGACGCGACCTTTTATCGTACGTAGATAAAGGTCAATTGCTCTTGATAGAGCTTTGAAATATATTTATCTGTCTGTGTAAATAAACTCAAGAAATTTCACAGGTCATATATGTAATTGTTGTGACACATGCAATATGCAAATAAATGTAATGTAATAAGAATTGCACAATAATTCAAGTCACAATTGATTAAACAAAAGAACGGGGTATTATTGATATAGACTGGCCAAATTTAGTTCACTTGCAAACATGGTGCCAACGAAATTAGGGTCAAAGACTCTAGTCACACCAAAAAAAATGCGATAATTTCAGTGGTAGACCTAAAACTGTAATATTCGGGTATTTGGAAAAAAAAAAAAAAAATCAAAAAAAAAAAAATCAAAAAGTCAAAAAGTCAAAAGTTGCTACAGTAACACTCTGATTTTCTCATTTAAGCCGAGAGCTGGCTCGGCCGAGACAGAGAGAAAGGAGAAGAAAGAAAAAGAGAGAAAGGGAAAGGAAAGGAAGAAGAAGAAAAAGGAAAGGCTCACGTCATCGGAGTCTCGCCAGCTCGGATCAACTTCGTATTTCAACGTTCGGTAAGCACTCGCGCCCTTCGTTCGTTTGATCGGAGAAGTTTTCCGATTTAGGGTTTAAATTCGGAATTTTGGGAAATTCAAGCGGCGAAGTCCGATTTTTGAGTCGTAGGGCTGCGTATTTTTATAGAATTGGTAGTTTACAGTATTGTGGAGCCGTGGGATTTTACGAAACCTGATTTGGACTTACGGTTTACCGGATATGAATTTTTGAAGTTAGCCGCGCAAGTGAACAGTGCGCGACCAGCAGGCTTTAGGCCGATTTTCGTCGGTTTTTGGCTCGATTTCGAGATGGCCAAGTTGGGGTTATTGTAGTGCTATGAATGGGCTTTCTATTGACTATAAGCTCGGTTGAATCGGGGTTCGGTGGAGGAATTTATGGTGCGATCAAGTTTCGCGTTCAAACTCCGCGTTGCGAACGGTTTGGATAATCGCTTTGGAAAAGCGATTTGTGGGCGCCTTTGAGTTGTCTTGTTAACGTTTAAGCATCGTTTAGCCGTTTCGTAGTTTTTTTTTTTACTTGGTTTTGATGTCGATTCTCATTTAATTGTTAGGATTACGAGATCGTCGGTTCGAGTGAGCGTGGTTATTTGATATTTGGGGATTCCAGGTGAGTGGTGCTATCTCTTCTTTGAGTTTGTAAACTCATATTTCGAAAGCGATATGAATCGGATATGTTATGAATTAAATAGCATTGTTATTGCATAAAAGCTCGGATCGAGCATTTACTACCTCTTGATTATTTGAAATGGCATGGTAAGGCATTTCTGAAAAAGGCTTATATATCGATTATCGTGAAATGGATTATGAAATGATTTGGGAAAACTATTGTGATTTATGAAATGGATTATGCAAAGGTTTTGGAACCATATTATGGTTTATGAATGATTTGAGAAATGGTATGAGAAAATAGCGGATGGGCTATGTTGTGAAAAGTTAATTGTTTGGTTTATAAGATTGATTTGTAGATTGGATTTCTGGTATTGGAAAATGATTGTTTGATGCTCAATATCGCTGTGAGCCCATTGAGGGGCTTGAGGGTATGCATACCGGGTTTAGGATATCCTTCTGGGCCGAGCCACCGGCTTTGTAGGTGGAGACCTTGCCAAGGGGGGAATCTTGGTAGCCTTGTCACAAGGCTTTGTGTCGTGACCATAGTTAGATATTGAGCAATAGATTGGTCGATGGAATGAACCATCGACGTTTGATATAATATGAGATTCATCAATGGAATAGACCATTGATGTATGATTTGAGATTAGTCAATGGAATGGACCATTGACGTGGTTTGTATAGAGATTGATCAATGGACTTGACCATTGATAGTTTGAATTGTGATGGTGGATTTAAATGTATATTTGTGACTTGTACAAAGTTTTGATGAAATGAAATAACTCTTATGTGATTCTATATGTATTTTAAACCTTGGGTTTGACTTCTGAAGTTCTGGTATTGCTTTGTACACATGCATAGTGATTGCTCGATCTATTTAGAAGAGATGTATTATTCACTGAGCTGTGGTTGCTCATCCCTCTCTTTCCCAATCTTTTCAGGTTCCTCGACTAGCGGCCGTTAGTACGAGAGCGCTATCGCGGGGACGTTTGGGAGTTAGATTTTTGGGTATGATTTTTGGAGTTGTTTGTAAGGTTGTTGATAGTTCGTCGGGTTGGCTGAGTTCTTGATGTACATGTTCTTTTGGTGGATTATAGAAACTCTGATGATGTAACCAACCCGTTGGTTTATCTGATATATATGTGGTTTGAGATATATATGTTGATAACAGGTTGTTGGTTATTGTCGTGGCTGTGTCCTTCGTGTGGAAGGATGGCCGTGTCATCCCCCTTTTCTAGTTGTTTTTGGGGTGTGACATCTTTTGGTATCAGAGCTTAAGTTGTGATCTATTTGGGTGTAGATTTTTTGGGGACGTTGTGAGATTGTGTGATAGTTTTAGCGTGTTATCTTCTAGGTGCTAAGGTTTTGTTACGTTTTGGATTCAGGTTATCATGCGTTCTGACTCAGAAACACTTTCCTCGCTTCGTAAGAACAGTAAAGGCAAGCGAGTCACTACCCCCGATACCAGAGATATGCCTCAAGGTTCTCGAGGCCCGGCTTCAAAAAGGAGATTAGAGGATCGATTTGAAAGAAGCCCCGACTCACAATATGCAAGTGATGATCTTCCTGAGCCTACCATCCAAGGCAATTTATCTGAGGCTTGTCAAGTAGTGCTTAACTTTCATCGTCAATTGAAAGATATAGGTGGGAGTGGAACCGCTATGACCGAAGGTGAGAGAGAATATCTGATTTTGATTCGGAAAAGCCAAACCACCTACTTATGATGGGACATCGGATCCTCTATTGGCCGAACGTTGGATTAGAAGAATGGAGGGGATCTTTAGAACCGATAGAGTTCCCAATGATCGGAAGGTTGACTTTGCCACCCAATGTTTGGAGGGCGAAGCAGAGTATTGGTGGGAAGGGACTAGACTCGCCCTGGGAGGCGAAGATACGACAATTTCTTGGGAAGATTTTACAAAAGCCTTCAATACTCAATTCTTCCCGAGGTCATTCCAAGCGAAGATGAGGGATGACTTCATACACATATCTCAGAGTGACTCTACAGTGATGGACTATGCAGGCCGCTTCAACCAGTTAAGCAGGTTTGCGAAACATTATGTGGATGATGAAGAACTTAAAGCTGAACATTTCCAAAGAGGCCTTCGGCTTAATATACGTTCTAAGCTTGCACCTCTTGAACTGGCCACATACAAGGATGTCTTGGAACGAGCGATCAAGGTGGAACGGTACAAATTAGAGCGTGACACACAGGGTGTTCATCAACAAAAGAGGCCCAAGTTTACTGAGTTTCAAGGAAGTCGTGTAAGTGGCAGTATTAATCGAAGAAGCAATAACCTACCAGGGAAGTTTAGAGCCCAGAATACTCGCAGCCCGTGTACTACATGTGGAGGGTATCATGGCGGTGAGTGTCGCTGGAAAATAGGAGTGTGCTTCTTATGCGGGAAAGCGGGACACATACGGCGTGATTGTCCTACACAGAGGAATTCTACACCTGATAATAGAACATGTCATCTATGTGGACAACGAGGACACCTAGCACATCGTTGTTTCATGCGAAGGAATGCTCCTTCAGTTGATAAGCCCCAAGAGAACCCGCAAAGACAGAGGACAAGTGGGAAAGTTTTTGCGATGACAAAGGAGGATGCGGCGGCATCTAACGCAGTTGTTGCAGGTAATATTTCTATTGCCTCGCAATGTGCTTATGCGTTGTTTGATTCCGGTGCTACGCATTCCTTTGTTTCTACTGAATTTGCAAAGAAGCTTGATGTGTTGCCTGAGCCTCTTGAATATGAATTGCGTGTCGATACTCCTACTGGTGATTTCTTGGTTGCTGATCATGTGTTCAAGGGATGTGCGCTCCAAATTAATAATGTTGAAATGCCTGTGGATCTAGTGGAGTTAAATGTTCGAGATTTCGATATTATTATAGGGATGGATTGGTTATCCACATACCGTGCTACTGTTGATTGTTTTTCAAAGAAAGTGATCTTTAGACTTCCGTGTCAACCCGAATTCTCTTTTTCGGGAAGTTGTAAAGACAATTTTCCAAGGTTGATATCGGCTTTGCAAGCAAAGAAACTTTTGAAAAAGGGTTGTAGTGGTTATTTGGCTTGTGTAAAAGACACAAGCAAGGTTGTAGCGAAGTTGGAAGATGTTCCAGTTGTCAGAGAATTTCCCAATGTATTTCCCGAGGATTTACCAGGTTTGCCTCTTGATAGAGAAATTGAGTTCTGTATTGAATTGATGCCCGTTACGGCACCTATCTCTAAGGCACCATATCGAATGGCACCTACCGAGTTGAAAGAATTGAAAACGCAATTGCAAGAGCTTTTGGATAAAGGTTTCATCAGACCTAGTGTCTCACCTTGGGGAGCTCCAGTTTTATTTGTGAAAAAGAAGGATGGTAGTATGAGGCTTTGTATAGACTACCGAGAACTTAATAAGGTGACGATCAAAAACAAATATCCTTTACCCCGGATTGATGATTTATTTGATCAACTTCAGGGAGCTCAAGTCTTTTCTAAGATCGATCTTCGTTCTGGGTATCATCAGTTGAAGATAAAAGTGGATGATGTGCCTAAAACTGCTTTCAGAACAAGGTATGGCCATTATGAATTTCTCGTCATGCCTTTTGGTCTAACAAATGCGCCTGCTGCTTTCATGGACTTGATGAACAGGGTGTTCAGAGAGTATCTAGATAAATTTATTGTGGTGTTCATCGATGACATTCTAGTGTTTTCGAAGAGTTTGGAGGATCATGAACAACACTTGAGGTTTGTCTTACAGACTTTGCATGAGAAGAAGTTGTATGCTAAATTTAGTAAGTGCGACTTTTGGCTTGATCATATAGAATTCTTGGGTCATGTAATCTCGAAAGATGGCATATTAGTAGATCCAAAGAAAGTTGAAGCAGTTGTTCAGTGGAATCGCCCTACTAATGTTACAGAAGTGAGAAGTTTTCTTGGGCTAGCTGGCTATTACAGGCGATTTGTAGAGGGATTCTCAAAGATCGCTGGTCCACTTACTCGCCTAACTCAGAAGAGAGTTAAATTTGTATGGTCGGATCAATGTGAGAGCAGTTTTCAAGAGTTAAAGAGGCGGCTAGTGTCAGCCCCTATATTGACTTTACCTTCAGGAACTACTGGCTTCATAATTTACTGTGATGCGTCTAAAGAAGGTTTGGGTTGTGTTCTTATGCAAGATGATAAAGTTGTTGCCTATGCTTCTAGACAATTGAAACCACATGAGAAGAACTACCCCACTCATGATCTTGAATTAGCAGCGGTTGTGTTTGCCTTAAAAATATGGCGGCATTATTTGTATGGTGAAAGATGTGAAGTTTTTACCGATCACAAGAGTCTGAAGTATATTTTTACCCAGAAAGAGCTAAACATGAGGCAGAGAAGATGGCTAGAACTTTTAAAGGATTATGACTTGTCTATTAATTATCATCCAGGAAAGGCTAACGTGGTAGCGGATGCCTTGAGTCGTAAGTCCTTTGGAAATATGGCAACTTTACTTACTTCTCAAAAGCCTATTCTTGAAGACATGAGGAAGTTGGACTTGGAGGTATTAGTACATCAGCTTGGTGCTCGTTTAGCTAATCTTCGAGTGCAACCAACATTGATTGATAGAATTAAGACCAAACAGAATGAAGATCCTCAGTTGCAGAAATTCAAAGAAGGCGTGGAAGCTGGAGGACAAGCAGACTTCAGTATACACGTAGATGGGTCCTTGAAGTTTCGTGGTCGTCTATGTGTTCCTGATGATTTAGAATTGAAAAAGGAGATATTGCAGGAAGCTCACAGCACTAGATTCTCAATTCATCCTGGAAGCACTAAAATGTATAGGGACTTGAGAGAGAACTTCTGGTGGGTCAATATGAAGAAGGATGTTGTAAAATTCGTCGACCAATGCCTAGTTTGCCAGCAAGTGAAAATTGAGCACCAGAAACCAGGTGGACAGTTACGCCCTCTAGAGATACCTAAATGGAAGTGGGAGCGTATCACCATGGACTTTATAGTTGGTCTACCGAGAACGCCAAGTGGTAAGAATGCTATATGGGTGATTGTTGACCGATTGACTAAGTCCGCACACTTTTTGTCATACCGATTCGGCCTTTCAATGGAAGACATGGCAAAACGATATGTTAATGAGATAGTGAAGCTGCATGGAGTTCCAGTAAGCATTGTTTCCGACAGGGATCCCAGATTTGTATCTAACTTTTGGAGGAGTGTACAAGGAGCATTGGGTACTAAACTCAACTTGAGTACAGCTTTTCACCCGCAAACAGATGGGCAGTCAGAGAGAACGATCCAGACATTAGAGGATATGTTGAGATCTTGCATCATTGACTTTGGAGGTTCTTGGGATGAACATCTACACTTAGCAGAATTTTCTTATAACAACAGCTATCATTCCAGCATTAAGATGGCACCTTTTGAAGCTTTGTATGGCCGAAAATGCAGAAGCCCTATTTGTTGGGATGATGTTGGTGAGAAAAGACTAACTGGTCCCGAGTTCATTCAGCAGTCAGAAGAGAAAGTTAGGTTGGTTCGGGAACGTCTCAAAACGGCTCAAAGTCGTCAGAAAAGTTATGCAGATCTTAAAAGGCGCAAGGTGGAGTTTAGTGTGGGGGATCATGTATTCCTAAAAGTTTCTCCTACGAAGGGTGTTATGAGATTTGACACGCGCGGGAAGTTGAGTCCAAGATACGTGGGACCATTCTTGATCTTAGAGAAGATTGGTGAAGTCGCTTATAAACTTGCTTTGCCACCGGCACTGTCAGGTGTTCATAACGTGTTCCACGTCTCTTTGTTACGTAAATATGTGCCAAATCCTGAGCATGTATTGGACTTTACACCATTGAGGTTAAGGGAGAACTTGACGTATGAAGAGCAGCCTATTCGCATCGTCGATAGGAAGGATCAGGTGTTGCGACGGCGGACCATTCCTTATGTAAAAATACAATGGCTGAACCACACTGAGAGAGAAGCCACTTGGGAACTTGAGGAGGAGGCAAAATGCAAGTACCCTCACTTGTTTGAAAGTTGAGGTAAGTACAAATTTCGAGGACGAAATTTTTTTTTAAGGAGGGATGGATGTAATATTCGGGTATTTGGAAAAAAAAAAATCAAAAAAAAAAAATCAAAAAGTCAAAAAGTCAAAAGTTGCTACAGCAACACTCTGATTTTCTCATTTAAGCCGAGAGCTGGCTCGGCCGAGACAGAGAGAAAGGAGAAGAAAGAAAAAGAGAGAAAGGGAAAGGAAAGGAAGAAGAAGAAAAAGGAAAGGCTCACGTCATCGGAGTCTTGCCAGCTCGGATCAACTTCGTATTTCAACGTTCGGTAAGCACTCGCGCCCTTCGTTCGTTTGATCGGAGAAGTTTTCCGATTTAGGGTTTAAATTCGGAATTTTGGGAAATTCAAGCGGCGAAGTCCGATTTTTGAGTCGTAGGGCTGCGTATTTTTATAGAATTGGTAGTTTACAGTATTGTGGAGCCGTGGGATTTTACGAAACCTGATTTGGACTTACGGTTTACCGGATATGAATTTTTGAAGTTAGCCGCGCAAGTGAACAGTGCGCGACCAGCAGGCTTTAGGCCGATTTTCGTCGGTTTTTGGCTCGATTTCGAGATGGCCAAGTTGGGGTTATTGTAGTGCTATGAATGGGCTTTCTATTGACTATAAGCTCGGTTGAATCGGGGTTCGGTGGAGGAATTTATGGTGCGATCAAGTTTCGCGTTCAAACTCCGCGTTGCGAAGCAGTTTGGATAATCGCTTTGGAAGCGATTTGTAGGGCGCCTTTGAGTTGTCTTGTTAACGTTTAAGCATCGTTTAGCCGTTTCGTAGTTTTTTTTTTTACTTGGTTTTGATGTCGATTCTCATTTAATTGTTAGGATTACGAGATCGTCGGTTCGAGTGAGCGTGGTTATTTGATATTTGGGGATTCCAGGTGAGTGGTGCTATCTCTTCTTTGAGTTTGTAAACTCATATTTCGAAAGCGATATGAATCGGATATGTTATGAATTAAATAGCATTGTTATTGCATAAAAGCTCGGATCGAGCATTTACTACCTGTTGATTATTTGAAATGGCATGGTAAGGCATTTCTGAAAAAGGCTTATATATCGATTATCGTGAAATGGATTATGAAATGATTTGGGAAAACTATTGTGATTTATGAAATGGATTATGCAAAGGTTTTGGAACCATATTATGGTTTATGAATGATTTGAGAAATGGTATGAGAAAATAGCGGATGGGCTATGTTGTGAAAAGTTAATTGTTTGGTTTATAAGATTGATTTGTAGATTGGATTTCTGGTATTGGAAAATGATTGTTTGATGCTCAATATCGCTGTGAGCCCATTGAGGGGCTTGAGGGTATGCATACCGGGTTTAGGATATCCTTCTGGGCCGAGCCACCGGCTTTGTAGGTGGAGACCTTGCCAAGGGGGAATCTTGGTAGCCTTGTCACAAGGCTTTGTGTCGTGACCATAGTTAGATATTGAGCAATAGATTGGTCGATGGAATGA